GCCAACTCCTCTTCTGGAGCGCTGGCCTATCAGGAGCCGTGGCTGGCAGAACTTCAAGCAGGCTCTCAAGGTGGCTGCAGCCTGGCCTGCACACCCTGTCGCCCCGCCAGCGGGTGTGGGCAGGAGCGAGACGGCAGGGGGGTGGCTCTTCCCCGGCCAGGTCATGCTCGCCACACGGGCTCAGAATCCTGTCTTCCATCCCCACGTTGTGGGAGACTCGGCAGGAGTAGCGAATAGTCACTGCCGGGGGCGCAGCAGCCGCCAAGCACAGAGAGGTTCTCCAGCTGGCCTCAGAGAAGCAGAGTCCGTGTTCTGTTCTGTGAGGGGCGTGAGGGCAGGCTTCAGCAGCTGAGAGAAGCCTCTGACCGACATCCCTCAAGAAAGGGGCCTCAGTTCTGTAACTACAGGGAATGGACTGGATCTACGGAGATCCTCCAACCACCGGATGAAGCCGGGGAGAGAACCCTGAGTTTCAGATAAGACTGCAGCTCCAGTCCACACCTTGCTGGCTGCCTGGTGAGACCCTAAGCATGGAATCTAACCCAAGCCATGCCCAGACCTTTCACCCATAGAAACCGGGAGGTAACAATATTGTTTGAAGCTGCCACATTTGTGGTAATTTGAAAACCAGGACAAGAAATCAGCTGCTTTTTCTTTTCTCTGAACACCACTCTTGCCACAGGGATGCCTGCTAGCAGTCGGGTCTACACATTGCCATGCTTCTGAACACCTGACACAGTTGACTGAATCGGAGGGGCACGCCTGACCCAGCTGGGGTGACCACAGTCTGTCTGGAAATCTCAAGCTGAGGCCAAGAGGTTCCAGCCGGGAGCCTCCCAAATGGAAGGCCGAAGCTTGGACACTGCGGCACCACGACCTTCTGCTCAGCGCTGTCCCCAGGGAATTCACATGGCCCATGCAAGCTGTAGGGATTCATTGTTGAAGACTTAAGGCCAGGCAAAGTTACTCACATAGTTGCTTACCGCCCAATCAGTGCACATTAGACATTTTCCTAGTTTCCGTCAGCCACCTCTTTGTGTCCATTATTATCAGGGAGACCATTCCGGCTAATTTCACACTCCCGCTGCAAGGAAGAGGTAGCAATGTGATTATTATTCGCAACCCCATGGCCCTTGGGACCCTATTTTAACTGAAGCAGTACAGATCCTCTTGCCTCTGCACTTTCATAATGCCATTCACAGAATGCTGATTACAGCACTACTCATTTCACTGCAACACCCACTGTACTGCCTGTGAATACTGGCGTCTGAGGATTCGCAAGTGCTGGCATGCTTTGTCAATGATGACCACAAACGTAAGTCTTACCCAGAGAATGCAGGAAAACGCAAACAATTATTCATTTTATGGTCATGTCAAATTTATTGTTTGGAATTTTACAGCATGTATTTATAGAACTTACAACATTAACATAGAATAACGCATCACCAACCATGTCTTCTCTTGAACCGTCTAGACCTTAATCACTGCAGTTCTAGAATATGAGCCTTTTCATGTTGACTGCGGCTCTTTCACACATGGTTACTGGTAGTGAGGATAGGTGAGGGACCCTGGGCAGAGCAAGAAAAGCAGACTTCTTTGGGCAAGCAATGTCTATCACCCGTTCGACCAGGATTAAGATCGACCCAGAACAGGATGTCACCATGTTGATCAAAGGCAAGAAAGGGCATCAATCAAACTGGACCATTTGTTTCACAATGCCACAGCCTGGAAAGCCCCGGGAGGGAACAAGCCTATCTACTGCAAACAGCGTCTGCTATGTGGCAAGGAGCTTGTGTGGCCACCCAGGGCGACAACAGCAGGGTGAGGGTGGGGACCCCGGGATCAAGGATGTCCACAGCCCCCCGACTCCTTCTGGAGCTCTCCCCTAGAAGTGACTCCGGACCAGCCACTGGCAGAAAACCCACGCATGGGCACACCTAGGCAGCTCCAGCCAAGGACGTGCAGTGGACATGGTAGGCCAGTCCTGGACTCAGCCTGTCTGATATTGGTAAAAGTTACTCTCAAGTCAGCGAATAAGCATCATGCTGGTGGCCCAAACTTGCGTGATCCCGGGAAAGAAACGATGCCCTGGCCAGTGGGAGCATGGGCCCTCCAGCACCAGCAGGGCCAGGCATCCCCAGGCCACCCTGCAGAGGCCAATCACAGAGCTCCTGGGCACTGGTGGGCTTGTGGAAGACTTGTGGCCAGAAAGGTCCTGCAGGGAACAAACAGGGCCTGAGGCGACTCGAGGCTCGCCTAGGCTTGGGGTGTGTCCCACCCAGAGGGCCCTGCTGGGCAGCCCAGGCCTCCGGGCGGCCCAGACACCCCAGGGGCCTCGGGACACTTCGAGAAGGGCTGGGTGAGGGTCAGGTTAGGAGCCCGCTTGCCCAGGCCGAAGGGCGGCATGGCTTCCATCTTGTGAACTGAGCAGCTGGAAAGGCTAGTCTGAAGAAGGAAGACGCGTACGCAGAGCAGGCTGCAGAGACAGAGGGGTCGACCTGAGTGCCGGACGGCTTCCTTCAGCCTCTTCATACAGCGGCTTTGCAACCCGACCTGGCACTCCACCAAACACGACTTTCCCTTTATAAAGTACCATCCCTTTTTTTCTTTCTTTTTTCCTTTTTTGAGTCGGAATCTCCGCCTAGGCTGGAGTGCAGTGGCACACTCATGGCCACTGCAACCTCAACCTGCTAGGCTCAGGTGATCTTTCTGCCTCAGCCTTCCAAGTAGCTGCAACTACAGGCACACGCCACCACACCAGGCTTTTTGATTTACTGTAGAGATGAGGTCTCACCAAGTTGCCCAGGCTGGTCTTGAACCCGTGGACTCAGGCAATCCTCTCACCTTGGCCTCCCAAAGTACAGGGATTATAGGCGTGAGCCACTGCGCTCGGTCGCTGTCCTTTTTTTTGTTTGAACTCATTTTATTTTCGTTACTTGCAAGCAGAGAGTGCTAATTTGATATTCAGAGCTGGACGCTTAGCTTTGCAAGTTCAGAAACTCGACTTTACCATTCCCACCAGAGCTAACCGACCTCTCAGGGATAAACTTGCTAAGAGCACCCACAAGAAACCACATGCCGTCTGCCCACTGCGCCATCTGCCCGCTGCACCGTCTGCTATCCCTCAGTCACTATCCTCTCTCCCCCACTCCCCAAGAATGATCACTGTCCAAGATCAGTTATGCTGCTTTTGAGCGTCACGTATGTGGGCTCGTATAGCATGTGCCACTTTGTGTCTGGCTTCTTTCAACTCAGTATTATGTTTGCGAGTGGAGAGCATCCCGTTCAATATGACTGCAATTTGCTATTCTCATTCCTGTGCGCGGTATCCCAACCGTGTGAATGTGGGGCAGTTTACCGTATCCAGCTACCACTGATGAGCAACTGGAAAGCTTCTAGCTGGGGCTCCTGTGAGTAGCAGAGCCACAAGCATTATCATCAACACACTCAGTGAATGAGCGTGTGCGTTTCTGCTGGAAATATCCTGAAGAGTGGATTTTCGGGGTCGTCATGCAGGAAGATGTCCAGGGTTAACAGACTGAGAAGCGTTTTTCCAAAGGAGAGGCACCATCTGATGCAGCTGCCCGCAGTGCATGAGAACGCCCGCTGCTTGGCATGCTTTCCAACACTTGGCACTTTTCATTTTAGTCACTTTGATGGATGCACAAGCACATCTCATAATGACTGATGGGTATTCCTTTGACTTGCGGCACTAGCCAGGGCAGAGTAGATCCACAATAAAATACCCTTCCCCTGTATTACAATGAGAAACTCAGGACAAAATGCAAAAAGCAACTACCTGAAAGCTCTGAAAACAAAGCAAAGGTAAGTATATTGGAGTGGAGAATGAACACTCGGAGAGACGATCTGTGCTTGTTTTTCCTGTTTTCTTACAGTTCTGCCCCGAGGCCTGACACCTCAAGAGACTATGGTGGCCACACAGGCAGCACCCCTGTGTTTCTCGCCAGATGAGTGAGGAAGAGGGACTTCTGGGAGCCAGGAGTTTGTGGGGGACTATGAGCCCCCCCGCTGCCCTGCCCCCATGGTGGTGTTTCTCTCTCTCCCCCCTCTCCCTCTCCACGTTAGCCCACGGGGGGAGGGCTTGGGTGTGGACACCTACAACTCTCTCTAGACAAAGGAGTGGGGAAAAAAACGGCTCTGTGGTCTGAGCAGTGTGGAGGGAAACCAGTTTTTCCTCTTTTCTCTTACTGCTTTAGGGTTGGCACTCAGCAGCGTCTGCAGCAATGAAAACTGCAAGAGAAACCTCCTGTCTCTGGCCAGAGGACTAGGGAAAAGCGTGGGGGAGGGCTTGGAAGATGGAAGGAGAGGAACGTAAGAGGCGAACCCATCTGAGTTCAGAGCTCACATCAGCACTGAACATGTGCAAGACAGACACAGGGCAGCACAGAAAAAGACCTCCGAAGTGAATTACAGTTTAAACTACGGCTGGTGCCCTAAAACAATCCTGTGTATGTATAGGACAGGCATAGCAAAGGCTTTGGAAACCCAACTGACACGGAACTCACAAAAGGCGAGACTGAACTTGTGATCTGAACCAAACTGGATGGGTTGTCCCCTAAAACAAAACAAAAAATCAACATTCCTCAAACGCTTTTAGCAGGACCCAGCATCTATGCAACATAACAGTCAAAACGTCCAGGATAAAATCCACCATCAATCACACAAAGTAACAGAACTGGGAAAATGTGACAAACTCTCAAGAGAAAACATGACCAACAGCTGCCAAACCCCAAATGACCAAAACGTTGCAACTCTCAGACATCTTAAAGCGAACATGACAGCTACTGAAATAGCTGGAAAACTTCACCCCTAAACAGAGTGACATCTGCACGGCATCTCGGTCAATAGCGAGCCGCGCGGACGACGAAGATCACAACACTGTCTCTCGCTGTGCCTTTTTACGTTCAAAGCCCCACAAATCCCACTGTGTGTCAATCGCCTACGGCCTGTGGCACGGCAGCACGCGACACGGGGTGCAGCCCAGAAGCAAAGGCCCGGCGAAGGGCCGAGGCGCCCGCAGTCCAGCCGCCCAGGCGTCCTCAGGCTCACATCAGACACGACGGCCCAGCGCTGCACTGCTCGGAAGGGCGTCCTGCTCCGCCAGGGACGCGTGCCGCGAGTGCCCTGGTCCAAACAACTGCTGGCACTCACGTACCACCACCAGGCCCCAACCACTCGGGCAGCGCAGTGGCTGTGGGGACCTCGGGGCGTGACCTCGCCAAGGCAACGCCCTCCGGTTCCCCCTCAGCCTCCTGCGCGTGGCCGCTAACGTTTCCAGGTTAGGTTCCCTCCCCTGGAGGCTGTGACGTTCCGGGCAGGTTCTGTCACGCTACTGAATTCGCACACCCCGCCCCCCCCACGACTTAACGGCCTGTACTTTGTGCCACATAAACCCCTGGCTTGCTTCATGAGGCGGCGTCTCCTTCCGGCCTGAGCCTTCTCTCCGCCGCCGGCACTCCAGGCCG